GGGGGACTTCTGCGAGCGCCTGCGCGCCCGCGGGTGTGAGGTGGTGGAGTTTGACTTCCTCTCGCCCAGGGCGGTCATGGAGTACTGCCACCAGCGCGGCTTCATGCAGGTGGGGTGGTGGGTGGGCGGGTGGGTGGGTGGGTGGGTGGGTGGGTGGGTGGGTGGGTGGGTGGGTGGGTGGGTGGGTGGGTGGGTGGGTGGGTGGGTGGGTGGGTGGGTGGGTGGGTGGGTGGGTGGGTGGGTGGGTGGGTGGGTGGGTGGGTGGGTGGGTGGGTGGGTAGGTGGGTGGGTGGATGGGTGGGTGGTTTGTTGGTAGTGGTGGGTGTGATTTTCATGCAGGTGGGTTAGTTGTTGCAAGGCACATGACATGTGGTTTCTGTACACTCTCTGAAGCGCAATGCACGGCAGGCGGCCTTCCTCACTTCCTCCCTCCTCTCTCTCCACCCCACCTCCCCGCCCCACCTCCGCCCCACACTTCCCCTCCCAACCTATCCTCACCACCCATCCTCCCCACCTACCCACCTATCTTCCCCACCTGTGGGAATGCGGGGAAACGTTCTCAGCGCCGTGCATAGCGTCACCTCTTCAGTTCCTCTCTCCTCTCTTTTCCCACCTTCACCCCCCTCCACCTCTCCCCTTCTCTTCAGGTGCTGTGGGAGTGCGGAGGCACACTCTCAGCACCGTGCATAGCGGGGGGCGCCATCCACAAGGTGATGGCGTTCGTGGCGCCCAAGATCATTGGGGGCGTCACCGCGCCCTCCCCCGTGGGCGACCTGGGCTTTGTGGAAATGACCCAGGCGCTCGAGCTGGCAGACGTCAGCACAGAGATTGTAAGCCGTGGGTGGGTGGGTGGGTGGAAATGGGGGGGAATCAGCAGGAATGGGGGTCCAGAGGAGAGGGAAAGGGGGAAGAGGGTGGTGGGTAACGAATGGGAGTAGGGGGGGCCAGTGTTATGAGGCGAGGTGTGAAAGCACCAGGTGAATGACTGGAGGATCATCGGGGGCGTCACCGCGCCCTCCCCCGTGGGGGACCTGGGCTTTGCGGAAATGACCCAGGCTCTTGAGCTAGCTGACGTCAGCACAGAGATAGTGAGTCACGGACAGAGGGGAGGGTAGGATAGGGTAGGCTAGGAGGGAGAGGAGAGGGGAGGGGAGGTGAGGGGAGGGAATGGTACGGTAGGGGAGTGGAGGGGATAGGGAGGGTAGGGGAGGAGAGCGAGGAAGGAAGAAGGAGGGTGGTGAGCAGCGAGTGGGAGTGGTGCCGGGGTTTGGCACTGCTCATGACATGCTGCTATCTGCACCTCCTACCCACCCACATATCTGCGAGTCCGTCTATCTCCCCTCCCATATCTCTCGAAATCACAACTCTCTGGCGTTATGCCATTGCTTGCACCAATCATCCCTCCCTACTCTCTCTCTCCCCGCCCTTCCCCCCCACCTTGCTTCCCCCCCTTTGACTGGCCTGCTGATGTTCAGATCGGTCGGGATCTGCTCATGACGGGCTATCTGCACCCTCTCCCCACCGATCCCCCCGTTCTGCCGCAAACGCCCACCTTCGAATGTAGACGTGAGTCCTCTCCACTCCTCGCCACTCCTCTCCACTCCTCGCCACTCCTCTGCTACCATTCAATCGTCACAGCTTGCATTGTCTTCCCTCCTTGGGTATACAGATGTGAGTCCGCTCCTTGCTCTCAAGAATGAAGTCTCGTTTGTCTTCCTTCGCCTTATGAGGTGCCTCAAGAGCCCTCTGTCTGCTTTCGCCTTTTCTCTCTCGGCGCACTCTCTGTGTTGATTTTCTGTTTGGCTGGCCCACCATCCATCCATCCATCCATCCATCCATCCATCCATCCATCCATCCATCCATCCATCCATCCATCCATCCATCCATCCATCCATCCATCCATCCATCCATCCATCCATCCATCCATCCATCCATCCATCCATCCATCCATCCATCCATCCATGCATCCATCCATCCATGCATCCATCCATCCATGCATCCATCCATCCATCCATCCATCCATCCATCCATCCATCCATCCATCCATCCATCCATCCATCCATCCATCCATCCATCCATCCATCCATCCATCCATCCATCCATCCATCCATCCATCCATCCATCCATCCATCCATCCATCCATCCATCCATCCATCCATCCATCCATCCATCCATCCATCCATCCATCCATCCATCCATCCATCCATCCCCCTGCCTCTGCCCCCCTCAATCTTACTATCACCTCACCCTCATCCTTCAACCTTGTCATGCCTTCTCTCCCCTCCCCTGACTACCCTCCTCCTGCTATCCCTCCCCTCTTGCATAACTCGTATTGTACCTCCGTGGCCATTTCAGTGACTCCTCCAACCACTCCTGGCCCGCCACCTGTCATCTCTTTCTACAAATCATGGGACCCTTTTGGTGCCCTATCCAACTTCTCCCCGCATCCCATCCGCCTCCCCCTGGTCCTCCCCCTCTCCCTCCCTTCCTCCTCCTCCTCTCCGCCATCCACCTCTGCTGCTTCTAACGGGGGAGGAGAGGAGGGGGAAGAGGTGCTGTGGCACACAGTGGAACATTTTTATCAGGTGAGCATGGGGTTTGTTGCGAGCTTTTACCTTTTCAGTAGGGCTCTCTCTGGACTGCCATGCCAATGATACTTCCCCTTTTATCTGTCACCAATTCCCATGCAGGCTCAAAAGTTTTCATGCTCACCATGTGAATACGAGGCGGCACGGGCAGTGCGGGAGATTCGGGCAGCTGAAACTCCGGAAGAGGCTGCTCGGATTGGCCGTGCTCTGGAGCGGAAGAGACCAGACCTTGTATGTGAGGCGTGCATGGGAGTGTGTGTGGAGGAGCGTGTGTGGATCGGGCATGGTACTGTGTGTGACGTGAAGACCTAATGCATGCTTCCCAGATCACCTTCTCATTCCAAACTACTTCGTTCATGATCCCCTACTAACCCTCACCCCTCCCATTTCCTCACCCGCACCTGCTGGTCACCAGCTGCGGCCAAACTGGCAGGAGGAGAAGCTAGCAGTCATGCGGGCGGCGCTAAGAAAGAAATTCACGACGTACCCACAGCTGAAAGAACTCCTGCTTTCCACTGGAGATTCACCTCTTGTCGAGGCGTCTACGCACGATTTCTTCTGGGGGAGTGGGTGGACACGGAGGGGGAAGAACAACCTTGGGGTTTTGCTGATGCGGTTGCGAAATGAGTTGCTGGTAGAGAGCCGAGGCGAGTAGGGCCTGGTAGCTAGTTAGGGCGATCGCGGCGATTTGCATTACGCTTTCATGCTTTAGGGCCAAGTGATTTTCTATGACACCTGGTGGTTGCGAACGCCTGACGGTCACTGCTGCGATTTATTACAGTAGCTCGATCTACCCTAAGAACCCTTCAACTGGATATGTGCGTCGTGAAGGATAACTCAGTTTTGCGGAAGTACATAACCTGAATGAAGGCTGGCAACGGTTGAAAAGGCGTGTCTCAGGTTATAACGTATAACATCAAAATCCCTAATGTCAAACACAATTTCAAAAGTAACGATAGCGAATAGTTGTCAACAGATGTGCTTGTCGGCTGGAACTACTAGCGAACGAGTGCTACATCGAGCTGCTTAAGTTGGAAGCCTACTCCACGTGGAGGTGGCCTCCGCCGTGAATTTTCTTCCACTCGTTGTCGAACATGTGGATGTACATATCACGGTGACCGATGGGTTTGAAACATGCATTTTTTGCTACACGCACCTTTGTACATTTGCTCATATCCTCCACTTCAGTGTACAGCACACTGTGGTTCGTTGGACAGAACACCAGACATTTATTTGAGCTGATTCCGGCCTTTTGAATGAATCTCCCCCTGCAATGAGACACTCCCTCGAGAACATCGTCAGAGCCACGTCGGCGACGGTTCGAGCCACCACACACACCTCTCCAAATCTTCAGGATGGCCAATCAGCGAAGGGTTTTTTTATAGCGCGCATTGGGTTGGCGGCGAAGAGAAGGTCATGCTTTCGAGGCGCGCGCCTCTTGCCATGACTTCTGGTTTTTTCTGCCTCGGGCAGGTAGTTTTTCAGCAGATCACAATTTCCAAAGAGATATACGAATGAACCTGGCTGCAGCAGTTACAGTTGATACACGAACTTGCAGCAAGAAATAAATACCGTACCACGATTCATCGCATTAGAGCCGAAGCGAATGGTTTGGAGGCCAGAGAAACCAACTACTACCACGCGGATAACCAGATTAGTAGGTGGGAGGGAGACGAGGGAGAAGGCTTGTTTTGGGTTTTAACCAGAGAAAGTGAGCGTAGAAGTGAGATCAGATTCTCTTGATTGAACACGGAACAGCAGCCAGCTCCTTTTGCGCGTGAAGTGAACTCCTGCCGAGTTAAAGTGATCACAAAGTAGTCAGACTCGCAAGACGAAGGCGGCGGGGTTCGCGGAACAAAGAGAAGAGACGAACTGCGCGTCTCACAACTCAGTTTGATCCGCCGAATCTCGACCTCACAAGCCCCCAGCTCTTCCTCCAACGCTTTCTTCAGAAATTTGGCAATGGCGGGTTTATCTTCGCAACCGTTGATCGCTGCTGGATCTCCAGCTGCTGACTTCTCCGCCGTCCGATCATCCCGGTCAAACGTATCGACATTTGCTGCTACGCCAATCTGTCCCGTCCAATCTGCTCACCCAGCTTTAGACACTAGATTCAAAGTCCAATGCCTGCTTGGTCGAAATTCAACCCGTACTGTCCCGTCGAAGCGCCTCTCGCTTCGCCGATTCTCAGTCAAGTGCACCTCTGCCGAACCACCAGCCCCAAGACATGCGCCGACGCAAGATTCATCGCGCTCTTCCCGCCACGTGTGCCAATCATCTCAAAGCAATGGCGCGATCGTGCACGACGATGCGCGAGAGGAGAAAAACGACGAGGCGCGGGAGACAAGCAACGGAAAGAGACAGAACCGGGACGGGGAAACGGCATCTGCGACCCGTATCACCGACGGGCACATGAGCCGTGACTCAGCGGGTATTGCGCCGCTGAGCGCGGCGGAAGAGGCGGCGCGGATCGAGGAGATGGGCGGTATGGCGGTGATGCAACGACCTTCAGTGACGGAGCCAAGCGGTACGCATCGCAGCAGCATCGAGCAGAGCAGCAGCACCAGCAGCGCACATACCAGCAGTGCGGAAACAGGGTCCGCGGAAGGGTCTGCGGCGGAGGGGGGATTTGGCGCGCCGCTGTGGGCGGACATTCGGCGCAAGGTTCCGCACGTGGGAAGCGATGTGCGCGATGGGCTGCATCCCGCCGCGGCGGCGAGCACGATGTTCCTCTTCTTCGCGTGCCTCACGCCGTGCATTGCATTCGGCGGGTAAGCCATGGCGGCGCGGTGGGCTCGTCGGTTGGAATTCATTTTCACACTGCGCTTCTTTGCTGCTAAGAGGCTCCAGAATTCCGTTTCCTAGCATCAATCTCTCCGTTCTTGAATTCCGTTTCCTAGCATCAATCTCTCCGTTCTTGAATTCCGTTTCCTAGCATCAATCTCTCCGTTCTTGAATTCCGTTTCCTAGCATCAATCTCTCCGTTCTTGAATTCCGTTCCGTTTTCTACTTTCGTCCCTTTTTTGTTTGCTCGGAAGTCCTTACAACTTAACCTCCTTTCTCACTTCCTCCTCTTTCTCTCTCCGCGCAATTGTGCTGACGTCAGGCTGACGGCCGCGCAGACAGGTGGCGCCATCGGAGTGGTTGAGACTATTCTCGGGACCGCGAGTGAGTAGCTCTGCAGTAGCTCTGTCTTTTCTTCTTCTTCCCCTTCCCCTTCCCCTTCAACGCTCCTCTCCTGCACCCACAAGTTTGCTCCGCCTTCCCTTTCCGCATCCGCCTAATCATTCCCCGCCACGCCTCTTTCCCCTCTCTCCTTCCTCTCGCCCTCTCGCCCCATCCAGCAACGCCGTGTATCCCTCACCTCCTTCCCCATCCTCGACCTTCCCCCCCTTCCCCCCACACTCTCCCTCTCCCCAGTATCCGGCGTGGTTTACGCCATGTTTTCCGGCCAGCCGCTCACCCTGCTCGGCCCCACAGGCCTCGTCGTCGTCTTCACGGGGCTGCTCTATAAGGTGAGCTTCGCGCTTCGGTAGAAGGTCAGCTTCGATATATATGTCAAGCTTCGATATAAGGGGATCTACATATTTGCGCTTCGCTATAAGGTGAGCTATGATATATAAGTGCCGCCTCACTATTGGTGTCCCCTATACAAGTTGAGCTTTAATACCATCCACTTCATCCCCCATCGCCTTCCTCCTCCCCGTTCACACGTGCTGCATCACTCTGCATCGCATCCTTCTCCGCTCACCAACCCCCCCACTTCTCCCATCCAGTCGGCAGCAGCGCTGGCTCTGCCGTTCCTGCGCGTGTACGAGTGGGTGAACCTCGAGTGGCTGCCGCATCACTCTGCTCTTCCTTCCCCTTCCCCCCTTCGCCCCTTCCCCCTGGTCCCCCAGTCCGCAGCAGCGTTGGCGCTGCCCTTTCTGCCCGTGTACGCGTGTGTGAGCGTGTGGTCTGCCGCCTTCCTGCTCGTTCTCTCGCTCACTGGCGCTAGCGACCTGGTGAGGTTCAGAAAGAGAGAGGATGGGGGAAACAGGTAGTTAAAAAAAGGGGAGAAATAGGCGAAGAAAGGGTGGGGAGTTGGGGGGAGAAGGGGGGGTGTGAAATGGAGGGGGAAAAGGGAGAACAGTAGGGTGGAGAAGGGGTGTTGTGCGGTCGGGGAGGGATTGGCGAAGGACTGGCACATAGGGTGACAAAAATTGTGAAGGGGAGTTGTGGAGAAAAAAACGTACGTGATTGTGTGAATGGGCGGGTTCGTTTTGGTTTTTCATTCACTTAATTGTTGATTGCTAACTTGTTTACTCCCTTTCCTCTCTCTCTCCTCCCCTCTCCCTCTCCCTGCTCCTCCGTGCCACCACCCTTAACAGATTCGACTCTTCACGGACGAGACCTTCTCGCTGCTCATCTCCCTCGGCTTCATTCTATGCCATCATGCCATCATCTACCCCGCCTCACCCTTCCTCTCCCCCCTCTGCCCGCCATCAGATCCGTCTCTTCACGCGCTTTACGGACGAGACCTTCTCGCTGCTCATCTCCCTCGGCTTCATTGCCGAGCCCTGCAAGGTGGGTGACAACGCGGGAGGGAGTGAGGCAGAGAGACATGGAGGGAGTGAAGGAGTGAGGGAGAGGGAAGGAGTGTGTGAGTAGGGAGAGGGAAGGAGTGTGTGAGTAGGGAGAGGGAAGGAGTGTGTGAGTAGGGAGAGGGAAGGAGTGTGTGAGTAGGGAGAGGGAAGGAGTGTGTGAGTAGGGAGAGGGAAGGAGTGTGTGAGTAGGGAGAGGGAAGGATGTGTGAGTAGGGACAGGGAAGGAGTGTGTGAGTAGGGAGAGGGAAGGAGTGTGTGAGTAGGGAGAGGGAAGGAGTGTGTGAGTAGGGAGAGGGAAGGAGTGTGTGAGTAGGGACAGGGAAGGAGTGTGTGAGTAGGGAGAGGGAAGGAGTGTGTGAGTAGGGAGAGGGAAGGAGTGTGTGAGTAGGGAGAGGGAAGGGGTGTGTGAGTAGGGAGAGGGAAGGAGTGTGTGAGTAGGGAGAGGGAAGGAGTGTGTGAGTAGGGAGAGGGAAGGAGTGTGTGAGTAGGGAGAGGGAAGGAGTGTGTGAGTAGGGAGAGGGAAGGAGTGTGTGAGTAGGGACAGGGAAGGAGTGTGTGAGTAGGGAGAGGGAAGGAGTGTGTGAGTAGGGACAGGGAAGGAGTGTGTGAGTAGGGAGAGGGAAGGAGTGTGTGAGTAGGGAGAGGGAAGGAGTGTGTGAGTAGGGAGAGGGAAGGAGTGTGTGAGTAGGGAGAGGGAAGGAGTGTGTGAGTAGGGAGAGGGAAGGAGTGTGTGAGTAGGGAGAGGGAAGGAGTGTGTGAGTAGGGAGAGGGAAGGAGTGTGTGAGTAGGGAGAGGGAAGGAGTGTGTGAGTAGGGAGAGGGAAGGAGTGTGTGAGTAGGGAGAGGGAAGGAGTGTGTGAGTAGGGAGAGGGAAGGAGTGTGTGAGTAGGGAGAGGGAAGGAGTGTGTGAGTAGGGAGAGGGAAGGAGTGTGTGAGTAGGGAGAGGGAAGGAGTGTGTGAGTAGGGAGAGGGAAGGAGTGTGTGAGTAGGGACAGGGAAGGAGTGTGTGAGTAGGGAGAGGGAAGGAGTGTGTGAGTAGGGAGAGGGAAGGAGTGTGTGAGTAGGGAGAGGGAAGGAGTGTGTGAGTAGGGAGAGGGAAGGAGTGTGTGAGTAGGGAGAGGGAAGGAGTGTGTGAGTAGGGAGAGGGAAGGAGTGTGTGAGTAGGGAGAGGGAAGGAGTGTGTGAGTAGGGAGAGGGAAGGAGTGTGTGAGTAGGGAGAGGGAAGGAGTGTGTGAGTAGGGAGAGGGAAGGAGTGTGTGAGTAGGGAGAGGGAAGGAGTGTGTGAGTAGGGAGAGGGAAGGAGTGTGTGAGTAGGGAGAGGGAAGGAGTGTGTGAGTAGGGAGAGGGAAGGAGTGTGTGAGTAGGGAGAGGGAAGGAGTGTGTGAGTAGGGAGAGGGAAGGAGTGTGTGAGTAGGGAGAGGGAAGGAGTGTGTGAGTAGGGAGAGGGAAGGAGTGTGTGAGTAGGGAGAGGGAAGGAGTGTGTGAGTAGGGAGAGGGAAGGAGTGTGTGAGTAGGGAGAGGGAAGGAGTGTGTGAGTAGGGAGAGGGAAGGAGTGTGTGAGTAGGGAGAGGGAAGGAGTGTGTGAGTAGGGAGAGGGAAGGAGTGTGTGAGTAGGGAGAGGGAAGGAGTGTGTGAGTAGGGAGAGGGAAGGAGTGTGTGAGTAGGGAGAGGGAAGGAGTGTGTGAGTAGGGAGAGGGAAGGAGTGTGTGAGTAGGGAGAGGGAAGGAGTGTGTGAGTAGGGAGAGGGAAGGAGTGTGTGAGTAGGGAGAGGGAAGGAGTGTGTGAGTAGGGAGAGGGAAGGAGTGTGTGAGTAGGGAGAGGGAAGGAGTGTGTGAGTAGGGAGAGGGAAGGAGTGTGTGAGTAGGGAGAGGGAAGGAGTGTGTGAGTAGGGAGAGGGAAGGAGTGTGTGAGTAGGGAGAGGGAAGGAGTGTGTGAGTAGGGAGAGGGAAGGAGTGTGTGAGTAGGGAGAGGGAAGGAGTGTGTGAGTAGGGAGAGGGAAGGAGTGTGTGAGTAGGGAGAGGGAAGGAGTGTGTGAGTAGGGAGAGGGAAGGAGTGTGTGAGTAGGGAGAGGGAAGGAGTGTGTGAGTAGGGAGAGGGAAGGAGTGTGTGAGTAGGGAGAGGGAAGGAGTGTGTGAGTAGGGAGAGGGAAGGAGTGTGTGAGTAGGGAGAGGGAAGGAGTGTGTGAGTAGGGACAGGGAAGGAGTGTGTGAGTAGGGAGAGGGAAGGAGTGTGTGAGTAGGGAGAGGGAAGGAGTGTGTGAGTAGGGAGAGGGAAGGAGTGTGTGAGTAGGGAGAGGGAAGGAGTGTGTGAGTAGGGAGAGGGAAGGAGTGTGTGAGTAGGGAGAGGGAAGGAGTGTGTGAGTAGGGAGAGGGAAGGGGTGTGTGAGTAGGGAGAGGGAAGGAGTGTGTGAGTAGGGAGAGGGAAGGGGTGTGTGAGTAGGGAGAGGGAAGGAGTGTGTGAGTAGGGAGAGGGAAGGAGTGTGTGAGTAGGGAGAGGGAAGGAGTGTGTGAGTAGGGAGAGGGAAGGAGTGTGTGAGTAGGGAGAGGGAAGGAGTGTGTGAGTAGGGACAGGGAAGGAGTGTGTGAGTAGGGACAGGGAAGGAGTGTGTGAGTAGGGAGAGGGAAGGAGTGTGTGAGTAGGGAGAGGGAAGGAGTGTGTGAGTAGGGAGAGGGAAGGAGTGTGTGAGTAGGGAGAGGGAAGGAGTGTGTGAGTAGGGAGAGGGAAGGAGTGTGTGAGTAGGGAGAGGGAAGGAGTGTGTGAGTAGGGAGAGGGAAGGAGTGTGTGAGTAGGGAGAGGGAAGGAGTGTGTGAGTAGGGAGAGGGAAGGAGTGTGTGAGTAGGGAGAGGGAAGGAGTGTGTGAGTAGGGAGAGGGAAGGAGTGTGTGAGTAGGGAGAGGGAAGGAGTGTGTGAGTAGGGAGAGGGAAGGAGTGTGTGAGTAGGGAGAGGGAAGGAGTGTGTGAGTAGGGAGAGGGAAGGAGTGTGTGAGTAGGGAGAGGGAAGGAGTGTGTGAGTAGGGAGAGGGAAGGAGTGTGTGAGTAGGGAGAGGGAAGGAGTGTGTGAGTAGGGAGAGGGAAGGAGTGTGTGAGTAGGGAGAGGGAAGGAGTGTGTGAGTAGGGAGAGGGAAGGAGTGTGTGAGTAGGGAGAGGGAAGGAGTGTGTGAGTAGGGAGAGGGAAGGAGTGTGTGAGTAGGGAGAGGGAAGGAGTGTGTGAGTAGGGAGAGGGAAGGAGTGTGTGAGTAGGGAGAGGGAAGGAGTGTGTGAGTAGGGAGAGGGAAGGAGTGTGTGAGTAGGGAGAGGGAAGGAGTGTGTGAGTAGGGACAGGGAAGGAGTGTGTGAGTAGGGACAGGGAAGGAGTGTGTGAGTAGGGAGAGGGAAGGAGTGTGTGAGTAGGGAGAGGGAAGGAGTGTGTGAGTAGGGAGAGGGAAGGAGTGTGTGAGTAGGGAGAGGGAAGGAGTGTGTGAGTAGGGAGAGGGAAGGAGTGTGTGAGTAGGGAGAGGGAAGGAGTGTGTGAGTAGGGAGAGGGAAGGGGTGTGTGAGTAGGGAGAGGGAAGGAGTGTGTGAGTAGGGAGAGGGAAGGGGTGTGTGAGTAGGGAGAGGGAAGGAGTGTGTGAGTAGGGAGAGGGAAGGAGTGTGTGAGTAGGGAGAGGGAAGGAGTGTGTGAGTAGGGAGAGGGAAGGAGTGTGTGAGTAGGGAGAGGGAAGGAGTGTGTGAGTAGGGACAGGGAAGGAGTGTGTGAGTAGGGACAGGGAAGGAGTGTGTGAGTAGGGACAGGGAAGGAGTGTGTGAGTAGGGAGAGGGAAGGAGTGTGTGAGTAGGGAGAGGGAAGGAGTGTGTGAGTAGGGAGAGGGAAGGAGTGTGTGAGTAGGGAGAGGGAAGGAGTGTGTGAGTAGGGAGAGGGAAGGATGTGTGTGAGTAGGGAGAGGGAAGGAGTGTGTGAGTAGGGAGAGGGAAGGAGTGTGTGAGTAGGGAGAGGGAAGGAGTGTGTGAGTAGGGAGAGGGAAGGAGTGTGTGAGTAGGGAGAGGGAAGGAGTGTGTGAGTAGGGAGAGGGAAGGAGTGTGTGAGTAGGGAGAGGGAAGGAGTGTGTGAGTAGGGAGAGGGAAGGAGTGTGTGAGTAGGGAGAGGGAAGGAGTGTGTGAGTAGGGAGAGGGAAGGAGTGTGTGAGTAGGGAGAGGGAAGGAGTGTGTGAGTAGGGAGAGGGAAGGAGTGTGTGAGTAGGGAGAGGGAAGGAGTGTGTGAGTAGGGAGAGGGAAGGAGTGTGTGAGTAGGGAGGAAGGTGTGTGAGTAGGAGAGGGAAGGAGTGTGTGAGTAGGGAGAGGGAAGGAGTGTGTGAGTAGGGAGAGGGAAGGAGTGTGTGAGTAGGGAGAGGGAAGGAGTGTGTGAGTAGGGAGAGGGAAGGAGTGTGTGAGTAGGGAGAGGGAAGGGTGTGTGAGTAGGGAGAGGGAAGGAGTGTGTGAGTAGGGAGAGGGAAGGAGTGTGTGAGTAGGGAGAGGGAAGGAGTGTGTGAGTAGGGAGAGGGAAGGAGTGTGTGAGTAGGGAGAGGGAAGGAGTGTGTGAGTAGGGAGAGGGAAGGAGTGTGTGAGTAGGGAGAGGGAAGGAGTGTGTGAGTAGGGAGAGGGAAGGAGTGTGTGAGAGGGAAGGAGTGTGTGAGTAGGGAGAGGGAAGGAGTGTGTGAGTAGGGAGAGGGAAGGAGTGTGTGAGTAGGGAGAGGGAAGGAGTGTGTGAGTAGGGAGAGGGAAGGAGTGTGTGAGTAGGGAGAGGGAAGGAGTGTGTGAGTAGGGAGAGGGAAGGAGTGTGTGAGTAGGGAGAGGGAAGGAGTGTGTGAGTAGGGACAGGGAAGGAGTGTGTGAGTAGGGACAGGGAAGGAGTGTGTGAGTAGGGACAGGGAAGGAGTGTGTGAGTAGGGACAGGGAAGGAGTGTGTGAGTAGGGACAGGGAAGGAGTGTGTGAGTAGGGACAGGGAAGGAGTGTGTGAGTAGGGACA